GGTGTCTTCCCCCCACGCAGACTGCTCGGCAGGAAGGCGTGACCTCTGCCGTTCCCAGCACGGGGGTCGGGGCGGGTCAGGGTCAGGCTGAGTGAGGTGAGTCAGGAGGAGCAAGACAAATGCTGGACGGTCTCGCTCATGTGTGAATACGCAGAAACAGCAAAGGGTCGGGTGGAGCCGGGAATGAACTCCCACCCACGCCTGCAGAGCTGGGGTAACATGAGGGGGAGGGAGGGCGCCCTGGAGTGGGGTGGGGGCCCTGGGGCCCTGGGGTCCTGGTCGTGCGCAGGGTGCGAGCGTCACATTGTGGCATCTGATCCCGTCACCTGCCCCAGAGCCCAGGGGCGCACACGTGTCCCCCTCACGCGCAGTGAGCACCCGCGTGTCAGCTCAGTCACGTTATGACCTTGTCGGTCCAGAATCGCTTCAAACGGAAATTCACTGTGGACGGAAAGCCTGAGAAATCTTCGCTCTGTCGGCCGCACAAACAACACTTCCAGGCCTCCCTGGCAGCCCGAGGGCTCCGCACAGCGCCGGGCAGCGTCCGCAGCCTCTGCAGCCCGAGCCCGACCCCCGGCCAGGGAGCTGCCCACGGGGCCCGGCAGACCCTCCCGTCCCCCTGCGGCTCCCCTCAGCCGTGGGCTTCCGTCCGTCTGCCTGTCCCGGTCCCGCTCGGTCTCTGGGGGATCCTCTCACCTCCGCGCGTCTGGCCTGTGTCCTGGTCCTGTCAGGGGGAAAAGGCTGTCCTCAAGCTGATTCCATGCAGGCTTCGTGGACGCCACCCCCACCCCAGGCCAAAGCCAAAGACACTGGGAACCCCAAATCCCGTCACCACCCAAGGGCAGGTGGCTGGGACCTGAGGGTGGGGTTCAGCAGCCAGGTTGGTATAAAGCCAGACACATGGGCTTTGGGGGGGTCCCCCATTTTGGCTCCCTACCAGCGCGCAGCGTCCGGCCAGCTCGGAGAGGGCCTTTGGGGTTCCGGGTTGGCGGATCGGGTAGGACGCATGAAAGACTTTATTTCCCTATTTTCTCCCTGAGTTGTCCATTTTCCTTATTTCCTTTTCCCTTGTGAATAAACCTTTTATGAACCTGTTGTGTGTCCTGCAGTGGAGTATTCATAAGTCCCTTGTAAGCGCGCGGGGGAGGACCCACAGCCAGGAACCCGCTCAATATCGGGGCTGCCCTATAACAGTTCTTGTGTGTGTGAATAAATTAAAAACTTTAAAAAAAAGCTCAAAACAAAAAGAAAACCATGGAACCCGCTGGTCTTCTCACCCCAACAAAGGGAAGGTGGCTGGGACCTGAGGGTGGGGTTCAGCAGCCAGGTTGGGATAAAGCCAGACACGTGGGCTTTGGGGGGGTCCCCCATGTTGGCTCCCCACCAGCTCGCAGCGTCCGGCCAGCTCGGAGAGGGCCTTTGGGGTTCCGGGTTGGCGGATCGGGTAGGACGCATTAAAGACTTTATTTCCCTATTTTCTCCCTGAGTTGTCCATTTTCCTTCTTTTCTTTTCCCTTGTCAATAAACCTTTTATGAACCTGTTGTGTGTCCTGCAGTGGAGTATTCATAAGTCCCTTGTAGCGCGCGGGGGAGGACCCACAGCCAGGAACCCGCTCAATATCGGGGCTGCCCTACAACAGTTCTTGTGTGTGTGAATAAATAAAAAACTTTAAAAAAAAGCTCAAAACAAAAAGGAAACCACGGAACCCGCTGGTCTTCCCAGTAAGTCCACCGAACCTCCCAGGACAACTCATCCCCGGGCATCTCTGTCTCTCCAGAAGCCACGGAAGGGATCGTGCCGCCAAGTACATGTATGACGCCAACACGGTTCTGACACTGAGCGCAGACGAGGTCGTCACACCCAGAAGAGACACTGCAGACCCGCGTCCTGAGAAGCACAGAGGAAAAAGCCTCAGCAGTGGAGTGAACAGCAGGTGCCGAGGAGCCTCCACAGCACCCAGGGGTGTTCACTCCAGGCCACGGGAGGGATGGACGTGGACGGTCCGTCCAGGTCATTCTCCATCTCAGCAGATAGAGATGAAATCACGGCCCAGATCAGCCGCTGCAGAGAAGGCAGCTGACGAGACTCACCCCGTTCATGGTCACGTCTCCCAGGGAGACGCGCGGAGGTGACGCTCCCCACAGGAGGGAGACCGTGTGCCCAGCCCACACAGCAGCACCTCAAGGGGGGAGACTGAGGCTTCTCCCCAAGGCCAGGCCCCGGCAGGGACATCAGCGGACCCCACATGGCTCAGCGTCCTGCGGGGAGACGGGAAGTATTCTCGTGTGAGAAGCGAGGGTGACGCTGCCCCTGTGGGCAGCAGACGTGGGGAGGGACACGGAGACCCCGACAGGCCCACGGAGACGGGGAGAAGCCGCGTCAGGGCCGTGACGTGCAGGCTCCAGACCCCGCGTGTCTGTGGGGGGAGAGGGTTGAGGCACTTGGGGCATTTTCAGTCCCAATGGCTGCTTTTTTGTTGTGAGTGTTCGTTTGCTTCGTGCTTCATGACGGACATGGCTCACCTGCATCCCACGCGGGCATCGCCCCTGCATCTGTGGCTAGTGTTCTCGTTTCATGCCTCTGCTTTTGCAGCATTCGCGGTTTCCATCTAACTCGTCCGGAAAACAAGTACCTTGAACTGGGCCTTTGTGTTGCCCACACCAAGGTCCTGTCCACACCAAGGAGATCAGTTTTCTTCCCCTTTCGCTGTCCGTGTTCCTTCCTCTACGCTTTACATTCGTGTCCGTGATCCATTGTGATTGAGTGTGACAGACGCTGGTCAGCCCTAGGAGCTTGGCTGCGGGCACAAACCCAGTGACCCTATCACCTTTCCGTGAGGTGACCGTGACGCATCCTCTTGTGTCACACATTAAAAACATAAGTGGAGGCGTGTGCGTGGGTCTGTCCTGGACTTCCTCTGTGTCCCTTGGTCCTCGTGGCCTGCTCTGTCCGCAGCCCCTGGGGTCCTCCTCCCGGAGCTGTGCAGAGGCTGAGCGGGCAGGGCCAGGTCCAGCCCGGTCCCTCAGTGTGTGCTGACAAGGGGCGTCTCCTCAGGCCCTGCGGTTCCGAGTGTGGAGAGTCTCCGGGGGGACCCGTTTCGAGCACGAGGGCAGAGATGGGCCCGGAGAAAACCAGCTTGATCAGGGACCACACGGTGAAGTATTAGGGCGGGAGATCCCACAAAATGCAGACAAATGCAATGTAGGGAAACACGATGGACACCGCGTGTCCACCCATCAGCCCACAGGACACTCGGGTGAGACGCTGACACGATCCCACCATGGCCCGGAGCAGGAAGGAGCCACGGCCCCCAATGTTGCTCGTCCCCGCCCGACGTCCAGCCGAGGCGGTCAGGGAGGGAGAAGCCCAGCACGACCCAGAGGAAGAGGACACGTGCCTCTCCCCGTCTGAAGAGGACCCGAGGACACTGAGGGACACCAGAGACTCCAGGAACGTAACTGTCTCAAGATAACAAATGGGCCCGTCGGGGCAGCAGAGGATCCAACAAACTCTCAGGGGTGACTCTGGCGTCACCACGGCAGGAGAAGGGCCTGGGGCCAGTCCCGGTCACGCCCTCACAGACGGGTCCTGGATGACGTCAGAGGGAGGAGGACGGTCCGGGGACGATGTGGGGCTCGGTCCGTGGACATGAAAGAGGCCCCGGAAGAGGGAGGACCCTGCGCGCCTGGGGGAGGGTGCCGTCCACCAGGGCCTGTCCCCAGAGCCACGCGTGGACGTGAGGCAAGACCCACAAATGCAGATGAGCGGGTGCGGGAAAGAGAAACACAGTTATCACGTTTACACGGATCCCCAAGGCCTTGGAGAGGGAAACAACCTTGAGAGAAAGGAGGAGACGTGACGCGTCACGCAGAGGAGACGAGAGCTGGACACCTCCTGACTCCCACCGGGAGCGAGCTCTGGGCGGAGGCCACGGCCCCGAACAGCCACAGACCCGCCGCGTCCCTGGAAACACACGGCCTGTGTCACAGAAAGGCCCCATTTCAATGAGGTTCAGCGAGAAACACACAAGACACTGAGCAGCAACAGTCCTGGGAACCCGGGAGACTCAGCAGAGAAGGGTCCGCCCGAGAGCTCTCGTGGCGGGTGCCCCCGTCACAGACACCAGAGGTCAGGCCAGGAGACCCGGGACCCCAGTGCTGACCAGGGGCCTTTCAGACAGGCAGTCGGGTCCGGCCAGGACAGAGACACACGCAGAGTCCTCAGACCCCCGTCTCCCCAGCTGCCAGGGCACGTCCCCACATGTGGCCACAGCTCAGCTCCCAGGGTCTGGATCAGGACCATCAGTCAGGAGTCCCCACCGGCCTTCCTGGGGGACCCTGGCTTCTGTGACAGGGGTGTGGACTGCATGGTGATCCGATCCAACTGGGTGTCGGAACCAGAACAGCAAATCAGTTGTTCTGACACATTTCAAAGGCACAGACGTTATTCAAGAGATTACACTGGGGGGAGTGACCCCAGGCTGGACCCGAGGAGGACACAGGGATGGACACACACTAGGAGAGGGCAGGGGTCGGCCTGGAGGGCAGGTCCAGGCTGGAGGTCCCGTCCCTGTCCATGTCCCCCCCCATAGCTATGAGCTGAGTCCAGGGCTGTGAGCTCGGAGCGCCCCCTGGTGGTGGGCCTGGGTGCTGCCCCCTCCTGTCCTGGGGTGTCTGTGTCTGGGCCACACCCGCCCTCCCTGCCTCCCCCCAGTAATAGTAAGTAACAGACACCTGGACAGGTGAGGGTCTCGTCCCTGGGGGGTCTCATCTGTGCACAGACAGAGTCACCTCCTCCTCTGGTGACAGTAGCAGCTACTGGAAATTAACTATGAAGGTAAAGTCCAAAATCCTGTAACATGTGGGACCATCCCAGCTCCACTGACCGGCTACTGGGTTAGTGACAAGAAGAGTAAATTATATTCTACCCAGAGACTGAGGACCTGGAGTCATGATCAGAGGATCCTGTGGACCCACCAGCACCGAGCACAGGGGAATTTGACAGGGTCAGAACCTCGCATGAACATGAAAGAGCCAAATAAATAATCGGACATTATTCCTGGGAGCGGGGCTGCAGGAGGGGAAGCAGTGGGCGAGAGCCATGTCCTGACGGGCTGTGTCTGTGTTTGCAGGTGTCCAGGGTGAGGCGCAGCTGGTGGAGTCTGGGGGAGACTTGGTGCCACCTGGGGGTTCCCTCAGACTCTCCTGTGCAGCCTCCGGATTCACCATCAACAGCTATTCATGAACTGGGTCCGCCAGGCTCCAGGGAAGGGGTTTGAGTGGGTTGCAGAAATGTATCCTTATAGTGGTGGCACATACTACGCAGACTCCGTGAAGGGCCGATTCACCGTCTCCAGAGACAACGCCAAGAACTCGCTGTATCTGCAAATGAGCAGCCTGAGGCCCGAGGACACGGCCGTGTATTTCTGTGCGAGAGACACAGTGAGGGGAGCGGGTGTGAGCCCAGACACAAACCCTGCAGGACGGGGGGCGGGGCTGGGGGCCCCCTGGGGCGTGTCAGGACCCCAGGGGCCCAGGGACACCAGGAGGCTCAGAGCTAAGAGCACAGCCTGGGAGCAGGTGCAGGGGTAGGGGGCAGGGGCTTCCTGTCTGGGGCTCCCTCTGCAAGACCTCAGCTCCCCAGGGCACCATTGCTCTCCTCTGAGAGGCTCCTGTTCCCCACAATCCTGGTGAGCCCCAAGGAGGAGGTGACTCTGTGCACAGGTGAGACCCCCCAGGGATGAAACCCTCACCTGTTCTCACACAGGGGATGCTCCAGAGTCTGCAGATGGCGGGGTCTCAGGGGTGAACCCCGGGTCCCTGAGAAGCTGCTGCGTCACTGACACAGTCTGTCCCTTGCAGACATGGACCCCACAGGCTCGAGTGCTGTGCGTCCAACAAGACAACCCAACAGCCAGGGAAGAAATAATCAAAACTTAGCCGACATAATGAGGCAGAAAGAAAAGCAGCTGTGAATACTCCACACACCCCAACGCTGGCTCTTTGAAAACAAACACGATGAACAAACTCCACCCGGCTCCCCCCGAGAGGGAGAAAACGCTGACACGCGGACCCTCAGGGAGGAGGAGAAGCTCGACCAGGCGCAGCCGCCGGCAGAGGACCCCGGGACTCCCTCGACGGTCCTGAGCAGATGGCGTGGCCCGAGGGCGGACTCGCTCTCAGCCCCTCACGAGCAGCCGCAGCCGACAAAGAGGCGCAGAGACGCGCACACGGCAGCCGCGGGCGGGACCCGAAGCGCCGTCGGGACACCCTGGCCCAGAGCCGGGCCGGAGGCTTCCAGCGACTCCACCAGGCCCCAGGGAGCTCCCGCCGTCTCGGGAAACTCTTCCAGTCAAGAGTGAAGGAGCCCCCCGAATTCGTGGGTGAGTCCCCGTCACACTCACCCCCAACCCAGACACACAGCCCAGAGAAGAGGCCGCAGACCAGATCGCGGGGAGCGCGGTGGGAACCCCTGGAGTCGCAGATGCCCGAACCCCACACGGATGTGGGGGTCACGCCCCACCCAGAGCCTTTGTGCAGGGACCCTGGCGGCTCCGAGTCCGGGAACCAGCCCCGCCCGTCACCATGGCAACCGAGAACATCAGAAGCCGGGACCCTGGCCATGGATGCCAAGCGGAGGGCAAAGTTGTCGCCGCCGGGAGGAGCCCTGAGCTCGTGCGCAGGAGCAGCGTCTGGGACGACCCCGACACGCCAGCCCAGGTCCCGTGGGGGCAGCTGGGCCCATCCATCTGCGTGGACACCCCCGGGCGCACCTCCCACTCTCGTGCGGTACTGGATGCCTGGCCGGGCAGAGGCGAGGACATGGGGGGACAGTGGACAGCAGTGAGCGCGTCGCCCTCTGCGATGACACGAGGACGGGCGGCAAGAAGCTGTGGCTCCTGGGACGGAGGCCCACGTGCCCGTTTGGACACGGGGGGCCAAAGCCCAGCACAGCGCCTGCTCCGTGCGGACCATGCGAGGGCCCAGGAGCAGACCCTGACCCTGCACCTCGCTGCCCGGGGGCTGGTGCTGTGGCGGGGGACAGGGCCCTGCAGGGTGCTCGGGAGCCTGTGTGCATGGGGGTCACTTTACACCCGGAGCTGACCCTGAGCAGA